TATGTATCTACCAAAAGACATTGAATGAATGGGAATATACCACCTCCCAGCAGGTGACGTCCAAAGTGTTCCAATTTATTCGACCACAGCATATAATAAAAAAAAGAACATCATCGCTAGGCCCGAAAAGGGAGGTAGTTATATACATATATATAAAATGAACAAAAAATAATGAAACCACAAAGACATAACCCAAATAAAAGATGGAATTGCCAGTTTGTTTCTATTCACAATCTGTGGATGGAGGTCATAGGGTGGTGGTAGTAAAACAAAAAAGAACACCGCACACATAAACATGCCGACAAGTGCATAGATGCAGATACAGCAGATCTGAATCGATGGCGCAATACTTACTGCAGCGTCAGAAGTCTTTGGGCTGTGTCTACTGCCAAATGAAATGAAGATGTCATATCTACATAAATAATTTGCATTTTTTTCGTGTTAGCTGGTGGGGAGTTATGTCGTTAGGGTAGGTTCCAATGGTATTCTAATATGGAGGGGAATCTGCTGTTTTTTCTGTTTTGTTGCGGTCGCCAATTTTTCGCGTACATCATGAAATGGCATTTTTAATTGACCAATGTAGCCTAATTAAAATTTTAATTACAGATTTCATGCTGTTTTTTAGTTGCAATGGTTGTGGGAGGTATTCATTATCATTTGTGGTGTCTTTATGCATTCCTTATCTTTATTAGAGAATGTTCGAGAATAAAGCGTGTGAAATATATGTTATATTTTTTTTATAGGATTTGGGTACTTTTATACCCTCCACCATACTATGGAGGGTATATTAACTTTGTCATTTCGTTTGTAACTCCTCGAAATACTCATGTCAGACCCAACAAAGTGTATATATTCTAGATCAGCATAAAATTCTAAGTCGATTTAGCCCCGTCCGTCTGTTGTAATCACGCTATCTTTCGAACGAATTGAGATAGAAGGCTAAAATTTTCCACACGTGTTTATTTTTCCAGTAGGCAGGTTAAGTCCGTAAATGATTCATGTAGGTCCACGTTTTCATATAGCCCCCATATAACGGTACCTCCCGATATTCGGTATTTTGATGATTTTAGCGACATTATTCACCGGAATTGTTTCAACTTTGGTATTTGAAGTTCGAAATGGATGCTACAGCCTATGACAGAAAATTATCTGGGCAGGTCCACGTCTTCGTATAGCCCCCATATAACGGTACCTCCCTATATTCGGTATTTTGATGATATTAGCGACATTATTCACCGGAATTGTTTCAAATTACGTATTTAGAGTTCGTAATGGGAACTACAGTCTGTGACAGAAAAATATCTATGCAGGTCCAGGTCTTCGTATAGCCCCCATATAACGGTACCTCCCTATATTCGGTATTTTGATGATATTAGCGACATTATTCACCGGAATTGTTTCAAATTACGTATTTAGAGTTCGTTATGGGCATTACAGTCTGTGACAGAAAAATGTCTATGCAGGTCCAGGTCTTCGTATAGGCCCCATATATCAGTACCTCCCTATATTCGGTATTTTGACGAGTTTAGGTACAATACCCACCGAAATTGTTTGAGATATCGTATTTGACGTTAGTAATGGATGCTATAGCCTGTGATAGAAAATTGTCTATGCTGGTCCAGGTCTTCGCACAGCTCCGATATAATGGTACCTCCCTATATACGATATTTTGATGATTTTAGCTACATTATTCACCGTTTATTTCAAGTTTCGAATTTGAATATGGTAATGGCTAATGGCAAACAAGGCCTATGTAGGTCCACGTCGTATATACCCCAACATAACGGCAATTTGGTATTTTTAAAATTTAACAGAATTTTTTAAGGATTTTATCTTTTTTTAAATATCCAAATTCGTTCCAAATGGTGGAGGGTATTCAAAGTTTTGCCCGGCCGAACTTACTGCTTTTTAACTTGTTTCTTCTAATGACATCCTTTGAGAGCTTGAATTGACGTATACCCCCAATTTTGAGTTATGATTATTCAAACTGTTGACCCTTTATGGGGGAGGTTCAGAAGCAGTTGACCCTTATTTACCAATTCGTATGTGACCTAAGACTGTTATTACAGCGTGTCAGATTTGGACTATATCGACTGATTTCTATACTTTATACGAGATATGTGCCAATTTTTGAAAAATGTGGGAAAATACGTGATGTAACAGATATAGCGGACCGAAATATTCCATTTTCTTACTTCATCTAATACATATAAAAAAGTTGCAAAGAAACGCCGACGTGTTTTGTATGTTATGGAAGATACAAGTATTGAAAATTGTGGTGAGGTACCAGAAGTGGTTCGCAGATATACAGCATCTTCTCAACAGATCTTTTGTTAACAAAAATGCTTGTATGTGTGAAATTTGAGGAGAGCTGGATGCATATTTTGTTTTCTTTGAGGGTTTTGTTTTTTAAAATCTTGAACCCACTGTGGAAGAGGTACCAGAAGAAATGGTCTGATCTCTACCATCTGTATAACAGATCTTGTGTTGATGGAAATATTGAGATGTGCCAAGTCTGAATGGAATCGGATGTTAATTTCGCGTTTTATGACCTTCATGGATATTCAAAACTTAGACACTTTGGAGGAGGGACCAGAAGGAGTGGACCGACATTTCTAAGTTACACACCAGACCTTGGATTAATAAAAATATTGTGATCTGTATAATTTGAAGAGAATCAGATGCTTACTTTGGTTTTTATGATCGTTTTTGTCATTTAAAATTTCGACCCTTTGTAGAGGAGATTCCAGAAGGAATGTTCCGATCCCTACCATATTTATAACAGATCTTGTGTTTATGAAAATATTGAGATGTGGCAAGTCTGAATGGAATCGAATGTTAATTTCGTGTTTAATGAACTTCATGATTATTCAAAATGTTGACCCTTTGTGGGGGAGGTGCCAGAAGGAGTGGACCGATATTGCCCATCTGAACACCAGACCTTGATATTGAGATGTGTGAAATTTGAAGATAATCGGACTCTTATATCAAATTTAATAAGAGTTATAATTATTCAAAATGTTGACCCTTTGTGGGGGAGGTACTTGATGGAGTGGACCGATGTTGTCCATATTCGCACCTGACCAAGCCCTGATGCAAATATTAGGATTTGCAAATTTGGAGCAAAATCGGATTATCCTTCCCCTTTCTGTGCAATAAATTATTTTTGAAAATGTTGACAATTTGTGGGGGTGGTGCCAGAAGGAGTGGACCACCTCCGAACTCGATCTAAGTTTGACAATAAAATTACGATGTACCAATTTTGGACCAAATCGGATACTCTCTTTAAGAAGTATCATATGCCATCTTCGACTCCAAATGTCCTGAAACGAATTTGGTCCAAAGAGACCTAGGGTCTAAAACCGTCATTACGATGGTTTTGGTCGTATCAAATGTAATATACCCTCTGTAGCCACATGGCTTTATAATGTAGTATGTATTTTATACCCAATATGTGTTCTTTTTCGACATTTTAGGTGATTTTCAAAAAGTTTCGGTACAAAAATACCAATTCTCTTGTATTATTCCGGAACTGGTTTAAACAACACCATCATATTACCACTTTGGATATATATTTTCATAAGCTTTCAAATGACAGCGATTTTGTAGAAGTGCATAAATTCCAACTTTTTTGTCCGAACTTTCGGGTCGAAAAACTGGGAGTTTCCCTCATATTGTAGTGTATGCAGATGAAAATATTAGTTTGCCGTAATCAGGTTAAAAAACACCGAAAGTGGTTCCTTTTAAAGGGGAATATACCACAAAGGGGCCCACATTTAATACTTTTTTGGATTTGAAATTGTGATTTTAGATGTTGATTTGTTTATACAGGTGGCGCAAATCCTCCTCTCAGAAAATGTTATAAATTTGGCCCCTAACGTTTTAATAACAGCCGAAAACATCGGAATGTCTGTTAAGTACATATGTAGGTACAAAGTAAACTTCCGATTTTTTGGCTGCGATTAAGACTTTAGGGGCCATTCGTAAAATTTATAGCATTTTCTGATAGGAGGATTACTTTTACGCCGTGTTTGGATAAACACGATCTGATTTTACATAAAAATATCCCTGGAGTTGTTCCCAATTACATGTCTTAAAACATTAGAAATTTAAGTTATTATAGATACTGTAAGGACATTCATATGCCTATTTTTAACGCTAATTGTTGGATAGAAATTCATGCCAAAGGTCAGGTAGCAATTCCAAGCTTGGAATCCAAAAATGATTTGATAAGTTTGGACAAAAGAAATGTCAAGACACATCAAATGTTCCGATTAAAAAATCGACATTTTGCCGTTTACGTATACTGTTGAAATTAGAATCATAGGTGTTGCTGGAGATAAAGGCTTCACAGCCGGATTTTGCGTTTCAACAACATATATTTTGTGACTCCAGCCAAGTCTCTATCATGGCTTATGGTTCATTCACGGATAATTTTTAAAATATTAACACACCTAGCTCTTGGGCTTTACTTACAATAATGTAAAATTGTACTTGCAGAAGTTTCTAATATTCGGTCCATATATCGGAAAGTGTGGACCTCCAAGTTTTGTAAATTTCGTATATTTTCTCAAATTTTATTCTCATAGACGGGGTGCTATCGATATCATTTAAAACTCTTCACTTTCTCGCGTTTTATATTTCCAATTGTTTCCTGTATTCCTGAATACCACATGCAAACGTCGTACCACTCCCTCATTTGATAACGAAATCATATAATTTGCAAAAATATTTCAAAAAATTTCATCAAGACTTCTTTGCACACAACCAACATTCTGTTACATGTTAAGGTGACGTTGCGTTAACCCGTTGTCTATTTCTTATACCGTTCTTTCACTTGCAGAGAATTATTTCTTTTTTATTTTCTTATCAGATTTGTTTAATTTGCCTTTGTTATTGTTGTTATTTTGTTGTTGTTTCGTGTGTGTGTGTGCGTTTTTTTTTCTGATTACACTTGCTCTTTTCTCTTGTATTAAGAAGTAATCACTCATTCAACTCACTTTTCATGAAATAAATTGTCTACGTTGTTGTTTTTTTGTTTTTCTTTATTTCTCCTGGTTGATACACTTTCGAAAAAGAAGACTCTTTTTATTAACAAATTTTTGCACTTTTTATGAATATCAATTACACTTTTTCTCAATTGTTGTTTTTGGTATAAGTTGTTAATTATTTGTTTTATATGTCTTTTTTTGCAACACTTCCAAACGGCATACACCCGACACGACCTTTTACAACAATAAAATAATTTTGAAGACTGTCGTTTTTCAAGGGATATCTACGTCGACTTTCGACTCTAGGTGTTCAAAAGTCTACACACAGTCATTCAAAGCTGTCGGTTTATCAGTAAAATCGATTGTTTCAGTTGTTTGGGTAGTTTCAAGGTAGAAAAATGTAGGTAGACGCATCGACAATGAACTGTCAAATCAATTTTGGAACTGAAAATGTTGAATGAAAAATTATTTAAATTTGTAAAAATTGTTGAAAACGCGAATAATAATAACTTCCGTAAAACATATATGAATCTACTTATATTTGAAAAAACATGCAAAATGTTTTGACATACAATGTTCCCAAGCGTTGATGCATCTATCTGTATTCTTCTACCATGGGTAGGATGCGATATAAGCATCCAACTCTCTTCAAACATCCAAATATTTTTGCTAACGCAAGATTTGTTCTAAAAATGATATATATCTGCCATCCGCTTCTAGTACCTCCTCCACAAAGGGTCACAATTTCCAATACGTATATCTGCCATAACTTGCGAAACATGTCAGCGATTCTTTACAACGTGCTATATATAAATATTTCTCTCAACCAGAAATCGGATATCAATTTGTGATTTATCGAAATTTATGATTTCGCATAAAATTGGATCAAACTTATCGCACCTTGTATTTATTGTACTATGATTATTTACACAGTCGTTAGCTTTTGCATGCATCATACAACGTTGTTGTCTTAGATGAATCAGTATGGGTACCATCATAATAAAAGATAAAGTAGATACTTTATCTTTTTCGCTTGCAGTGTCATCTATTAGAAACATTCCAATTTAAATTTGCATCGTTGTTTATGTCTTTGCTAGAACAGCATCGAATACACAAACCTTCCATTGACGACTTCTATTTAAGCGGAATATTGTGTAATGCAACCTAATGCCTGTGAATTTTTATACCCTCCACCATAGTATGGAGGGTATATTAAGGTTGTCATTCCGTTTGTAATACCTCGAAATATACATTTTAGACCCTACAAAGTACATATATTCTTGATCGGCACAAAATTATATTTCGATTTAGCGATGCCCCTCCGTCTGTCTGTCCATCTGTGGAAATCACTCCAGCTTCCGAACGAAATGAAAAAGGTTGATAAAATTGTACTCAAATGTATCTTATGTCTCCAGGACTTCTGGTATTGAAAATGGGCCATATAGGTCCACGTTTTGATATGGTCTCTATATAATGGTACCTCCCTATTTTCGGTATTTTGGTGATTTAAGCGACATTACCCACCGAAAATGTTTCAAATTTGTTTTTTGAAATACTTAATGGATACTACAGCCGAAGACTGAAAATTGTCTGTACAGGTCCACGTCTTCGTATAGCCCCCATATAACGGCACCTCCCGATATTCGGTATTTTGATGATTTTAGCGACATTATTCATCGGCATTGTTTCAAATTTGGTATTTGAAGTTCGTAATGGATACTACAGCCTATGACAGATAATTGTCTGGGCAGGTCCACCCCTTCGTATAGCCCCCATATAACGGTACCTCCTTATATTCGATATTTTGATGATTTTAGCGACATTATTCACCGGAATTGTTTCAAATTTGTTATTTAAAGTTCGTAATAGATACTACAGCCTATGACAGAAAATTGTCCGTGCAGGTTCAAGTTTTGGCATAGCCCCAATATAATAGTATCTCCCAATATTCGGTATTTTGATGACAACAGGTCTATACTGTCTTAAGTGTATGTCCTCCAGAATGTACGGTGGCTCCTCATTTCAAGCTAACCTAAGATAGCATCCATACTATGTGTGGTGGAGGTTATAAAATGTTAAGGTGAGAGTACGTAAGAGGCTTTTTATTAATTGGCTTAATTCATCGACTGGCTCATTCGTAAAATAACAAAGGAGTTTTAGGTTGACATAGTTCTAATTTGGTCTTACACTCCTTTGTTCTTTTACGTAGCAGCCAGCCGATGACTTAAGCCAGTCCAAAAAGCCTTTCATGTACTCTCACCTTTAAGCCTTTGCATTTTGACTGCCTTAAATGTACTTTCACCTTTAGTCATTAAATGCCCAAAACTCCTTTAGAAAGACAAAAATCAATTTGCTGCCACTAATTTAGTTAAGTAACCACATTTTCCCACTGGCTACTTAAAAAATACATACACCTTAACATTTACGACTCTGCATTGCTTGCATGCACTGAGAGATGGAGAGAGAGAACACATAATGTAATGACTTGTTAAGTGATGCACTTTAGTTTCTCATTAAATTAAGATCACTTGTTCTACCCATAACAAAACAAAACACACACACCTATATCTCTCGTGCAATGAGAAGTTGATTGGTGTGCTCTTGCTCTCCATACTAGTTTATTTACTGTAGGTTACGGATGTTGTTGTTTGGCTGGAGAAAGAAGTCCCACTACTATCTCTCCCACTCTCTCTTCTTTGTCTTTTTCCCCAGCTCTCAGTACTCACGTAAGTAGAACCTTTTTACAAATTAGTTTTTAGTGGTCGGCCCAAGCAATATGACGTGACGTGTTTTGGAGTACGGGAGAAAGGTAAAAAAACGAATGTCAATGTGCGAATGAATAGAAAACACAGCAAACCCTTGAGCAAAAAATAGCAATAACAACCATAGTGTAGTGTTTGTCCCAAGCACAGTAAAAGTAAGAAATTCAAAGAATTGTGGGTTTTGCAATAAAGAAACGACCAAGAAAAAAGGTTTTGTGTGTGTGTGCGTGTTTCGAGCGGTTCGTTCAAGTAGCAGGAGGCGGTTTGGCTGATTGAAAAAGTAAACGTAGCCTGCTTTGCCATTTTATTTCAAAACAAGTGTTAACATCTTAATGGCCAGTAAAAAAATAATAATAACAACAACAACAGCACATTATTAATCTACGTAGCTCGGTCAAAATCGGTACATGATTTATTGTGAATTTAAAGCAGCGCAGTCGTCAATGTTGTTTGTGTGTGTGTGTGTGAAAATATTTAAAATGTGCTAATTAATGGGAATAAATGAAGAATAGTGCAACCACAAAAAAGTCATAATTAATTGTGAATAAGCAAAGTTTGTTTTTTTCCCAATCGTTAATTGCATAGCGTGAATTTGGGATTTATTTCTCCTACCCTAGAATGTAATCTCGAATTACAACAAGTTGAAGTGTCATTTTATAAATGAATGAAATAAAATATTGAATTAAATTACCGAATAGTGTTTTTATTGTTAGTGTAAAATAAGTGGATTAGTTGGGTTCAAAAACCTCTACACAAAGCCAGCCAATCAATCGTGTCATTTTATTAATTGATTTCGATTTTGACTAGATTTACATTTTGGAATAAACAGCAACATCGGCAGCATCGGATTTCGAATCAAAATCAACGTTAAAAAATTCAAACAAAACTGGTAAGACAATAGACCCCCACTTCTCTCTCTGATCCCAAACCGAAAAATAACAATAAATTTATTCACATCAATAGTTTCTTTTTTAATTTTGATTTTTGTTTTGTTGATTTTTTCAAATCATAGTCAGAAGTTTTTTGAAATGAGCATCGAATACCATTTCTGTCTTATCATTATCTACCTGTGTTTCAACAAATAGTTAACCTATCAGAAGTAGAGAGACAAAAACACCAACATTCATTTATCTTCTTTCCATTCTCTTTGTTTATTTTTTTTTTCTTTGACTTAAAAATCTTGTTTTGAATGTGTGTGACACAATGCCGCTGGACAGAGAAATTGATGAAATAAAATGACATTCTTCTTTTGCTGGGTGTTTTGTTCTCATCTCTTTATCTCTCTCCTGGCTGTGATTTCAAAACGTAACGTCTTTACGTAGTACACATACCTATGATGTACGTATGTACGATTGTGCATTATCGTGTATTCTTTGAGAAGTACCAACCAGTACACTAGTAGCTTCACTTCCAGCTCAAGTCGCAGAGCATCCAAACTTCGTTGGTGTTGTACTTTTTTCTACGCTTGAAAGAAATTCGTTGTGTCACTGTCAAATGCCGGCAAGCAAACCGGTCTTCTATTGGCTCTCATCACATACAGTGTTGCCAATTTAGAGTTTTTCTACCAAAAGAAATGGCAACAAATGGAACACCTCCAAATATACATTTTAGACTCCACAAAGTATATATATTCTTGATCAGCATAGAATTCTATGTCGATTTCGCGATGTCCATCCGTCTATGGAAATCACTCTAGCTTCCGAACGAAATGAAGTAGGTTGATAAAATTTTACTCAAATATATATTATGTCTGCAGGACTTTTGGTATTGAAAATGGGCCATGCAGGTCGACGTTTTGGTATAGCTCTTATATGACAGTACCTCCCTATTTTCGGTATTTTCGTTATTTAAACGACATTATTCACCGGAATTGTTTCAAATTTGGTATTTTAAGTCTACGACATAAAATTGTTCGTGCAGGTCCACGCCTTCATATTTATAGGCCCCATATAACGGTACCTCCCCATATGCGGTATTTTGATGATTTTAGCTACATTTTTCACCGGTATTGTTTCAAATTTGGTATTTGAAGTTCGTAACGGATACTACCGCTTAGGACAGAAAATTAGCCGTGCAGGTTCACATCTTCGTATAGCCCCCATATGATAGTACCTCCTTATTTTCGGTATTTTGGTTAATTAAGCAACATTATTCACCGGAATTGTTTCAAATCTGGTATTTGAAGTTCGTAATGGATACTGCAGCCTAACGCAGAAAATTGTCTCTACAGGTTCACGTCTTCGTATAGGCCCCATATAAAAGTACCTTCCCATATTCGGTATTTTGATAATTTTAGCGACATTATTCACCGGAATTGTTTTAAATTTGGTATTTGAGGTTAGTAATGGATACTACAGCCTATGACAGAAGATTGTCTGTGCAAGTCCACGTCTTCTTATAGCCCCTATATAACTGTACCTCCCCATATTCGTTATTTTGAGTTTTTTAAATACATTATTCACCGGTATTGTTTCAAATTTGGTATTTGAAGTTCGTAATGGATACTACAGCCTTTGAGAAAATTGTCTATGCAGGTCCACGTCATCGTATAGCCCCCATATAAAGGTATCTCCCCATATTCGGTATTTTAATGATTTTAGCTACATTATTCACCAGAATTGTTTCAAATTTGGCATTTGAAGTTCGCAATGGATACTACAGCCTAAGACAGAAAATTGTCTGTGCAGGTCAACGTCTTCGTATAGCCCCCATATAACGGTACCTCCCCATATTCTGTATTTTGAGGTTTTTAGATACATTATTCACCGGAATTGCAACTAATTTGGTATTTGAAGTTCGTAAAGGATACTACTGCCTATGACAAAAGATTGTCTATGTAGGTCCACGTCTTCGTATAGCCCCCATATAAAGGTACCTCCCCATATTCGGTATTTTGATGATTTTAGCGACATTATTCACCGGAATTGTTTCAAATTTGGTATTTGAAGTTCGTAATGGGTACTACAGCCTATGACAGAAAATTGTCTGTGCAGGTCCAGGTCTTCGTATTTCCCCCAAATAACGGTACCCCCCGATAATCGGTATTCTGATAATTTTTGCGCATTTTCATAATGGGTACTACAGCCTAAGACAGAAAATTGTCTGTGTAGGTCCACGTTTTCGACCTCCATATATTCGGAATTTTGATGATTTTAGCTACGTTATTCACCGAATTTTTTTATTCTAGTTTCGCAATTCGTGTTTCGAAGAAAAAAGGTCCGAAGACTCCTCCAGCAACACCACACCATACAGTGACTTTGAGCGGGTATAGTGGATCCTCGTGGGTTACACCCGGATTTTTAGCGCCCCAGAAGGGTAAATTTTGCTTGTTTGCGTAGCCGCTATGATCACTCATGATTATTTTTGTTGAAAAATCATCTTCTTCTTCTTGTTAGTGATTAGGGATGACTTGAGCGTATGTTAGATGCGATTGGTAGTCAGCAGTTGATGCACCATCTGGACTTTGTACGGATACACCATAAAATCTTGCACCAAAATTCGCTGTAAAGATCGTCGACTGACACCCATTTGCGTGGCACGTCCTCTGGTTGATATCGACGGTGCTTCCTTGACATCCTCGGCTACAGCAGCAATATTTTCTGCAGAACGTATACTCCGCGGTCTGCCACGCCTGGCAGCATCTTTTGTTGTGCAAGTCCCCTCGAGGTATTTCACCAGTAGGCGTTGGACGGCATGGAAATCTGCGACGAAACTCTCATTGTGCCAAAGTCACCGACCGATTATTGGTCAAATAAATAGTCAACCATATTCCGCGTTCTGGAGCAGTGTAGCGTAACATTGCTTATTAACGTGAATTTCGCAAACGAAAATATCAAAACAGAACTGATATTAGGGAACTTGATATTATAGCATTTTCTGATAGGAGGATTATTTTGCGCCACCTTGTATATACACTGGTGGCCAAAAGCAAAGTAAATGAACTTACAAGAAGAATAAATGCCCTGTAACTTTATTAAAAATTAAGAAAATGAGAAAGTTTTTATGAAAGTCGGTTTTATGAAACTGGAGGGGTAGTAACAGTCTATAACGGATGAAGGCCGTTTATTTTACGGTGAGAAGACCAAAAAAAAATGAAAGACTCAGCCGCAGTGCTGCAAGGATACAGTAAAGCATGAGGGAGGCATAAAAATGATATGGCGCTGCTTTTCTTTCTATGGACTTGAGCCTATCCATGAAAAAAGAAAATTATGGATCAGTTTGTTTACAGAGATGGGTGTTGCTGCATGACAATGATCCCAAACATGCATCAAAACTTGTCAAAGATTGGTTGCTAGAGTCAAAAATCGGTGTTTTATCATAGCCGGCACAATCATCTGACCTAAACCCCATAAAAAACCTTTGGAGTATCATAGATAGGAAGATCAAGTGAGATTCGGAAAGAAATAAACACAACATTTTCTAAAGAATTCAAGGTGCCTGGAAAAGCATAGCTAAGGATCAAATTGAGCGTGTTATAGATTCAATGCCTTATAGGGGTGCAACTGCTATCAAAAATAATGGATGCTATCGACTACTAGCCAAATTTTAATTATTTTAAAATAAAAAATCAAAAAGTTGCTTTCGTTTTGACCAAACAAAAATTGGGTCATTTTAGTTTTCCATATATTATTTTTCATTCAAAATTATTTTTGTATCCTTATTTGTAATTTTTAAAAGCGAATTAAGTACCTTATTTAAAACTGAAGAAATAATTACGATTTGTTTATTTTTGTAAAAGTTACAGGACATTTATTGTTTTTGCGATTTTAGTTGCTTAAGTTTCCAGTGTATAGCTCTTTTAATGACTGCTGTTGGAGGAACTCTTGATATTGTCTCATATTTATGAGAAAAAAAGTCTCACTAACAAAAATCTGGCAACTCCCCGCATCATCAAAATAATCAAAAATTTGCGCAAATTCATGCAATTTCATACTCTTTTTCCAATCATCGCCGACGAAGTTGCTTGCAACTCACATATTTTGCCACAAAAAAAAAAGTCCCTCAACTAACCGGTATGGAGACGGACGACAGCAGGCAGACATCTCACTGTCTTTTTATTCAGGTTGTTTTGGCATGGCTGGTTGGATGGATGGACGGACGGCCGAACATACATGCATGTCGATCGTACGCTGTGCTAACCATCATTAATGCTGATCACTTTGGTATGTGATCGGTCGTTTTACCGGTTTATGTTGTGTGGCACACGTTTTTTTTTTGCAGTTCACTCTGTTTTGGATGAAATAAGGCCAGAAGAAGAAAAAAAAAAAAAAAAAACAGAAACACAACAAATCCGAATTGTCTTTCCCCATATATGCTCCTCCGTCGGAGTCTAGTTTGGAGTTTAAGGACGGACTATGTACACCCAACCAATTTGGATGATACTTGAATTGAACACACCCGCATTTTGCGTTGAATGTTGTAACTAGTAAAGTTGAATGGCTTGGTGGAGGTGTCTTCTTAAAGACAGAGAAAACGAGGAAGAATGGGCAATTTGGGAACTGGAAATGTTGCACACCAAGAGAGGTAGATTGGACACAATGATGGCATATTAAATAAAGTGCGTACAATATCGGTTAGAACTTCAGTTCGATGTGAAATTGTATTCTCAACAGGTTGCTCTGAACTAATGAGTATCAGACACGAAAGGTATGTGATTATGATTTTCCTACAGTTGCTGGGATAATGTTGCGCCCTGGATGGAGCCGTCTCTATCACGTTAAACCTTCGATTTTGTTGTCATTCAGTTCGATGATCTTAAATTTTAATGAATCAAAATTGTTTCCTTTACCCTCTGAAACCACTCCATTCATCTAACACTACGATCAACTGTGGATAGTGGTTAGAAAATTCTCCTCTTAGCCAGATTTTAGCGACAAATTTAAATTTTTA